CAAAGCTGGCAGGCGCAGAATTTACAGAAAGGGAACATTCTCATTTTCGGTCGCTGAGCCAGTGCTACGTTGACAGCGGAAGAACTGGTAGTCGATGGGTCCTGGACTTCGTTGATAATGGGAAATGGTAGATGTGGATTCGCGTCGACAGACTGCAGCGTAGTTGGCGTTTGAGGTGGAGAATTGCTGCTGTTTTTCTGGCTTTGCTCGAATTGGTCGATTGCCGCCCTGGCAGTGTCTACCACATGCTGCTTCTGTGCTCTTAGCTTAGCGACCTGCTCTGGCGTGTAATGACCGTCCTTGATGGCCTTCTCGATCCATGGACTGAGCTGGGCAGTGGGAATTCGCGCGTCCTCCCCTCCAAGTCTCGGATCCTCGTTGACAGTTGGCGGTGGCATTGACAGATCGTTAACACTGCTTGCCTTCCCCCCACTGTCATTGATGTGTTGATGAGGCGGGCTTGAGATTTCTGAGATGGAGTCAGGTGTGACTTGAGATTCTGGAACATCGTCTTGCGTGCAGCAGTACACCCAGCCGAAACTAGAGAAACGCGAGCAGACGTTGCACGTGAAATCCCCGTACAGACGTTCCATTGTGAGGTGAGTGCATGCTGCCCGTCGAGTTGCAAATGATGGCACTTTGGCCCTGGGCATTGTGCCTGGCATTGGTGCCGCGCTATGTGGTGGTGGTAGAGAAGAAGGAGGAAGAGGAAGAGTGGAAGGGTTCGGCATGATGGTTTCTTGTAGTCTGATGGCGAATGGCTTGAGGCCGTTTAAGAATTCAAGAATGAAGTCATATTCAGTATCCGGAGGCGAGGTAGATTCTTGTCTGCCATGGTTCATCACATGGTTCAAGTTCAAGGTGTGGGAGGTGGAAGAACGAGGGTGTTGAGGAGAGACGCAAAATGAGACAACATCTGTGTTGATAGTCGCATTGTCATCCGCACGATCATCCAGCATCTTCATCAAGCTTCAAGATTTTACTGTCACGCTTTTCTGCATCAACGGGATCAGACACTTTGGCATCAACCTTATCCCATCAGTAGTTTATCCGCGGAGGCATTACGAGTGGACGAAGACAGTAGGCAGCACAGGCAGTCTTTAGCTGTGGCATTGATTAGGCGTCTGCTTAAGCCATGAGGATGGAATAGAATGAGATATGGATCAATTGAACTCCAAATGATGGGTGAGGGATACAGGAGGAATATAGGAGCAGAGATTGCTCCTTCCTTTCGGAAATCTTTCATGCAGTCTCTATGCAAGGGGAGGTCAGCGGCGCTTCGCTGCATATCACATCTGTAAGCAACCTAGAACATCAGCGCTTCCAAGTCACAAATCTGTAGTTACAACGGCAATGATTAGCAAAGGCCGTAGCTTCAATAGCGAGGACCGACGGTATGGGCCCTCTCTACTCTCTACTCTCTACCCCGGATCTGCAGTTCGTTATGGAGCTCCTCGTTGTCTATCTGTTGCAGCTTGAGCAGGGCTGTGGGAGCAATTGTATTTGCGATCATCACGTCGAATTGGCTGATGCTGCAAGCTACAATAGCGTATCAGAATCCCGTCTTGATGATTGCGCCTCTCATTTTCAGAAGATGATGGTAGAGCTGCATATGCAGTAATGGGGGACTTTTTGCCAAGGCCACTAGCGCGTTTATCTTTGTGGGATTGACAAGGGCAGAGACGCGAGGCAAATCTTCAAGCCACTGCCTAAGTACTTTATAGTATCCACGACAAACAGACAAAAGAGCAATGTATTCGCTGGCGCTTCATCATTGGACGCCATCACTAACGTTGTTATAGCCTACTCTCGAGAGTTAAACACACTGGCTGCTCTATCTCGCCGCCTGGCCCTCGCGCAGTCCAGGTCCATATCGTCTTTCCCTCTCCATCAGATCCGCTGTCTTCCCGTTCGTCCTTGCCTTGCTGGGAATACTGGCCGCCGCACCTTCACTACTTCCCCAAATAATCTTCGACCAGAGGTCATGCTAGCAAAGGCTGCTCAAGAATATAATCCTGTAGTGTCCGGCGTCAAGGGCTCGACATCATCACAGAACTACAATGCCACTGCCAATGCCTTAAAGCCACGATCGTCGTCAATACTCAACACGGTGCATCCCACCCCAAAAATCTCTCTAAAACGTACTGCATCTCAGGCTAATGGTAGAGAGTCTCCATTCAGCAGCCAAGAGCAGGGGTTGAAAAAGGCAATGATGAGCTTGACACAACCATCTACTGGTGGAGGAAGGCTTGACAAGTTACATGATCCGGTCTTCTTTGATGAGAACGATTTCGAAGACGACCAAGATATAGACCTAGACGCGGATGACTCACCAATAGCCAGCAGGTCAATATCCTCAGGTGCTTCATCAAGCACATTGCTACCTGATCCACCACTGAAAAAGTCTACTGCTCCACAGACACCTGTCAGCAGCACGCCTCTGCCTTGGTCCTCTTCTCCACTGTCACACTATCAGATGCCCCCACCAAAACCTCAAACGCAAACAGCTGTCACTGCCAATACGTATAAGCGAAGGACTTTGCCTTGGGTAGAGGACGCAAAGAAAGCAGATCAGGCTCGTCATGAGAAGTCAGATCGTTTTTGTGAGGACTTGACAGGTGGACTTCCCCCAACATCCTCTGAGCAAGCAATCTTAGATCAGAGAAAGGAACGTAAGGAGCGGAAATTGCTGGATCGCCAGTGTGCAGACCTGACTGGAGGGGAAACAGATCCCAACGGCCACGGCCAGAGCATGACTGGAAAAGATCAGGACCTTGAACGCTTCCGCAAAAACATGATTCTAAAGGGGGCGCCAGACTGGGTTGCTGAAAAAGCGATCCAAAACAAGAAGCGGAAGATAGAGACAGCGCAGAACTCATCTGGCACGGCATACACACCATTGCCAAAGGACAAGGCCTATTCACCCTATCCTTGGAATAAGACTGCAAGTGCTGTCAAGGAAGAGCAGAAAAAGATTCGACAGGGCCACAAAAAGCTTGTTAAAGATAACGAAGGAGAGTCTGAAAAATCGAAAATGAAGAAGGGTCGAGAGACTGTAGCCAAAGTCTTCTTGAGTGACGAGCAGAGGTCGGTGTTGAATTTAGTTGCTGAACAAAGGAAGAGTGTCTTCTTCACAGGTTCCGCAGGTACTGGTAAATCTGTGCTCCTCCGTGAGACCATCAAAGTCTTACGCGACAAGCATAAGCGAGAGCCTGACCGAGTCGCCGTCACAGCTTCAACTGGTCTCGCTGCCTGCAATGTGGGTGGGGTCACGTTGCACAGTTTTGCCGGAATAGGTCTCGGGAAAGAAGCCGTTCCTGAGCTCGTGAAGAAGGTTAAGAGGAACGCGAAAGCCAAGACGCGTTGGTTGAGAACGAAAGTCTTGATTGTTGACGAGATATCGATGGTAGATGGCGACCTCTTTGACAAGCTCGAGGCCATAGCTCGCGCGATACGGAACAACGGGAGACCGTTCGGTGGCATTCAGCTTATCATCACAGGAGATTTCTTTCAGCTACCACCGGTGCCAGACTACGGCAGAGTCTCGAAGTTCTCTTTTGATGCCGCTACCTGGAACACGTCGATTGAGCATACCATCGGATTGACTCAAGTCTTCCGGCAAAAAGACCCAGGTCCGTTACTTGATATACACTAAAGAAGACCACTGACCGTTCTAGTTTTTGCCAATATGTTGAACGAGATGAGGCTAGGAAGGTTGACGCCGAAGTCAGTCGACGCTTTCCGGGCTCTCAATCGACCGTTAAGCTTTGCCGATGACTTTGAAGCTACAGAGCTGTAAGCGTCTTGATGACTTACTCTGTTGACATTCTTGCTAATTCTAGAACAGATTTCCTACGCGGAATGAAGTCGAGTATGCTAACACTGCTCGGATGAAGAACCTCAGTGGAAGAGAATTCGAATTCAAAGCAGTGGACGGCGGATCCATTGTGGACCACGCGCAACGAGACAAGCTGTTAGCCAATTGTATGGCGCCAGCATCAATCTCATTAAAGAAGGGTGCGCAGGTGATGTTGATCAAGAACATTGACGACACTCTTGTGAATGGGTCTGTCGGGAAGGTGGTAGCCTTTATGGATGAGAAGACCTTTGATATCTATCATGAGGACGAGGACGAATTCCAAGCGGTAGAGACCATGGAATTAAACGAAGGGGAGATGACAGCATCCAGGAAAAAGCTCAAGGCAATGATCGACAAGGACCTTCCGGGCAGCACTAGTCAAAAGTGGCCTCTTGTCCGATTTGCCATTGCGGATGGTAGCTCGAGAGATCTTCTATGTCAGCAGGAATCTTGGAAGATTGAACTTCCGAGCGGTGAAGTTCAAGCCTCTCGAATGCAAGTACCACTGATCCTGGCATGGGCTTTGTCAATACATAAAGCTCAAGGTCAAACACTGGACCGCGTCAAGGTCGACTTGGGGAAGATCTTCGAGAAAGGGCAAGCATATGTTGCACTAAGTCGAGCGACTTGTCAAGAAGGATTACAGATCACCAGATTCGACCCGAAAAAGGTTATGGCTCACGACCGTGTCCGAGCATTCTACGATAGTCTCTACTCTGTCAACAAAGCCACCACTTCACAGAAAGGGGATAGGAATCCCGGAATCTCTGCGAAAGATCATGAGCTGGACTTTATCGATTCAATCTATGGAATCGACCCAGATGAAGAGCAAGCGATGTATGCATAGTGTACAAATGGCAGGGAAAGGAGCGCGTTAGAGTGACGAGCATCTTGCATGCGCAGGAGCATGTCTCCAGAGTATGATAGAGCTTGTGCTTTGCTGTCTTGGTTGTATTTAGCATACTAGCTCAATGCATTGATCGGCAATATCCGATACATTATGATGCAAATTAAGGTATTTAGCGTGAACCGAATAGAAAAGTGATGTTGAAAGATCGGAGTGAAGCCACGCCTTTCCTCATAACACCGATGCTCGAATAAACACTCCTTCCATCCTAACGCCACGTGAACTCCCTTCACAATGGCTCAATTCGTTGGCCTGTCAGTGCTAGCAACTCTCAGAGAGCCGCCCGCTAAGGTACGAGGTCTGGTCACAGCAGTGGTTGAGCAAAAGTTGACCCTGGACCAAGGTACCTTCCCCGGTCCAGACCTGCGACTTCCCGACGTCTACTGACAAGTAGCCATAGTGACTTGGCTCTCTGGGGCATCGGGTCCAGAATCGCTCATCGTACATGGCTCGAATGTGCTAGATGTTGAGATCATTGAGAGTGAGCCAAAGGAAACAGTGCAAGAGACTGAAAAGAAGGATGATTTCGTGGACCCGGCTATTGTTAGCTATGGAAGACCTGAGGGATATTTAGCTCCTGATGCTAAGGTCAATGGAGGCTTTGTGGCTACGAGTCAAACGGCTGTGATTGCTTGCGCAGAACCATCCCTACTAGCAATTTCCCCAGTATCTACCGAGCCAGCAACGACTGGCGCACGAGAGGAACTTCAAAGCCTCCATCCTGCGGTGTATCCAGACACAATCACACCCTCTGCTACGCTTACGGCACCTTTCAACGACCTCTCTCTCAATGGGGATACACATGAGGAGAGGCTAGACCCAGTGGATGGCAAAATTCTGAGGCATCAGGACACGGAGCTGCTAGAATTGAAGGAGGTGGCACAAGGGAGGGCGCCCAATTCAAGAAAGAGAACTCGGAGGTCTGGAGCAAGAGGAGGGTCATTACCCGCTCAAACGCAGGATCTGCCCGACCTGGAACCACACACTACCCCGGTATCGACACAAAAACGGCGCGGAAGGGGCAAGGGCTGGCGGCAGACCCCTCTCCTCGAAGAACCTACACGCGAAAACCCTTCACCACGGGCAGGACAACGTGGGCAACATCCCCAAAAAGACGCACTTGAACCGGGAACGGTGCGCTCCACCAAACAAACACCAGACCATCCGAAACTCAGACGTCGTCGTTATAGAGAAGAGGAGGATCAGAATGGTTGGGCTACAGGCGATGCTACCGATATTCAGGATATGGGTGACTTCGATTTCGAAGAGAATCTATCCAAATTCGACAAGAGGAAGGTGTTCGACCAGATCAGGCAGGAAGACACTACGGCTGATGAGGCGCGACTGGTCAGTTTCAATCGGCTGCCAGCCGCTCGAGCTGGCACTGCTGGCGGGAAGAACCTGCATTATACCGAGAATGTACTGGATTCTCCAATTAGGAAGGTAACAACAGGCGGAGATGTCACCAACGTTGACAACAGCAGTACGGAAAGTGAGCTGGAAGTGAGCGAAGCCAAGATTAGCAGTGGAAGAAGTTCACGCAAGAATGTCTCACGCCCATCGAGAGCCCCTTCGCGAAAAGGGAGCGCCCTTACAGCTGGAGATCATTACGGTTCCGGATCCACGTTCGTTGCGGAACCCGTCGGCAGACTATCCAGGCAAACTACGCATGATCGGATTGCGAGTCCCAAGATCAAGACAGATTCTTCGACCTCTCGCTACCGCAAGTCATCTGGCCCTCCTAATACTGGGAAGTCATCCTTTCGAATCACCTCCTCCAACTGCCATTGTCCTTGCGTTTCTCCATTACAGATGCTGGAATTGGAGCAGCTCTCTACGACAGAGCTGGGTCTAACCGAAGAAATGCTCACCGAGAACGCTGCACGATGCATTGCGGAGACAGCCTACGGGCTGACTTCTAGTGAAGACGCCGAACAGCCCAACCACCGCCCTTTGATAGTAATACTTGTGGGAAACACCAAAACTGGCTCCCGGGCTATAGCAGCGGGTCGCCATCTGCGGAACCACGGCGTACGAGTCGTCCTCTGCATTCTCGGCCTCGAGCGCGAATGCGACCTACTAGAAAGCGTCCAGCGACAGCTTACAACTTTCAGAAGCTGTGGAGGCCAAGCTATCAAGCAAGACGGTCTAATGAGAACTCTACGGAAACTCCAGGCGCCTACCGATCTGATTGTCGATGCTCTACTAGGCATGCACTTGTCCTTCGACGACCTACGAACGGATGACCAAGCCGCCTATTTCCAACTCGTCTGCTGGGCGAATGGAAGCGATGCAGGCACCTTTGCCGTCGATTTACCATCGGGCATCGACCCTTCAAGTGGTATAGCTACCACCCACGACGGCAGCGAACTGGTCCTCAACGCAAACTTCATACTCTCCCTTGGTGCACCAAAAACAGGGCTTCTTGTTGCTATGGAAAGTCTGAAGACTGTTGCAAATCCGAGCCTTTTTGTAGCTGATATTGGTATTGCGAGTGTGGCTTGGAAGAAATTTGGCATGAGGAGAAAGGGCGGGGTGGAGTTTGGTGGGGAGTGGATCGCGGCGGTGAGATGGGAGCAGGGTGCTGGGGCATGATTTTGGGGTAATGAGACGGTGGATATGCTCAAGAAAATGGTGGGTGGTGCGGATGGTATGTTGTAGATGGTGCTTTGGAGGGGATAATACCCACGGTTTGGCTTAGATTTTCCGGCTTTTGGCCTTTTAGCTTGACAAGTATCATTCAAAGAATCCAACAGATGTCAAATGAGAGCACCAAGAAGAAGTCATTTCATCAGTAACCTGGCCAGACAGAGACACACATGACGAAATCTCGTGATACTGTGGCCAAAGAAGTTTAGCGTAGAAGCTCTTTAGATCATTTTTCTAGAGCTCTAAGAGACGATCTACAACAATCATGGGCAAAGGTCAGCACTCCGCCTTCCAATCTCGGCGACTCTTTGCTGACCTTTTACTATCCTCTAGGTACGGACAAACTCTACGTAAGCATCCACGCGCTCTTCTCGGTCTTACTGCTTTTCTGACCTTTTATAGATCACCCACAGCGAGTGGGCTTCCGAAGATGCATACTCCGCCAGCGCCGGCTCCGGCCTCTCCAAATCAAACGCCCCTGACAACACTTTCAAACGTCTCCCCTTCAACTTCTGCGCCCTGTCTCTCCAACCCTTCAAATCCCCCGTCTGCACGTCCGACGGCACAACCTTCGACGTCGACAATATTCTGACATGGCTCTCCAAACACGGCACCAACCCTGTCAGTGGACAGCCTCTCAAGGCTACAGATTTGCTCAAGCTACACTTCCTCAAAAATGATGAGGGCGAGATGGTGGATCCGGTCACCTACAAGGTGTTTACTGATAACACGCACATCGTAGCGGTGGGGACTACGGGCAATGTGTATGCGTGGGATACGGTTGAGAGGCTGAATGTGAAAGCCAAGATGTGGCGGGATTTGCTTAGTGATGTGGAGTTTGGGAGGAAGGATATCATTACCTTGCAAGATCCGTTGAATGTGAAGGGCAGGAATCTAAGCGAGTTTAAATACCTTCAAGAAGGCGTCAATACATTGACGGAGGAGCAGCAACGAGAGCGGAGTGCGGGTGTCAACAAGAGCGCTCTTGGAAGCGCGGCTTCCGTGCTGAAAGAGAAAGACACAGCAGCGCCAGCACAATCTCAAATCGGCAAATACCTCCACCAACAACCCTCCTCGACCTCACCCTCCACTTCCCTCGCCAAAACCTCTTCTAGCAACGGCACAGCAAAGTCCCAAGCCCTCCACACTTCAAAAGCAATCCCTTACAACGCCGCCCAGCACACAACAGGCCAAGCCGCCGCCTCCTTCACCTCCACAGGCCTCACACCCCACACTGGCGGCGATCTTGCCCTCCTGAGCGACGAAGAATACATGCTCAAGCCCCGCCGGGTCAAGAAACCAGGCTACGCGCGCATATCGACGAATTACGGCGATATCAATCTCGAACTGCTGCCGGAGTTTGCGCCCAAGGCCGTGTGGAATTTCACGCAGTTGAGCAAGAAGGGCTACTACAACGGGGTCGTGTTCCACCGAAACATCCGCAACTTCATGCTCCAAGGCGGCGACCCGACGGGCACCGGCAAAGGCGGCGGCTCCGTCTGGAACAAGAACTTCGCGGACGAGTTCGACGGACCCCTCTCCCACGACGCCCGCGGCGTCGTCAGCATGGCGAACAAGGGCAAGAACACAAACGGCTCCCAGTTCTTCATCACCTACCGCCCCTGCAAACATCTGGACCGCAAACACACCATCTTCGCCCGCGTCGTCGGCGGCATGGAAACCCTGTCCGCGATCGAAAACGTAGAAGTGTCGGAGACGGACAAGAGGCCGCTGGAGGCCGTGCGGATGGAAGAAGTGGCCGTGTTTGTGGATCCCTTTGAGGAGTTCTGGACGGCGAAGCGGGAGAGGGATCGGGAGGCGGAGGCGAGAGAGGAGGTCAGAAAGGCCGGGGGTCGAGAGGATGAGAGGGTCACGTGGACGGGGAAGAGATTGAGAGGTCCGGACGCTACCGGTGGCGTGGGGAAGTACATGGCCGGTGCTGCGGTGACGACGGACGGGGGGGAAGTGCTGGCGGAGTGGGAGAGCGGAGAGCCGGGCAGGAAGAAGAAGACGAAGAAGGGGGCGGGGTTTGGGGATTTCGACGCTTGGTAGCGGCGGGCACGTCTGACGGATATGGGAGAGGCGGGTCTGGATACCCCTTTTGCTACGATGATGAGGAAATCTGTTTCGTCCAAGTGATCATTGATCGTTCATGCTTCACGTGTTCAGGTTGTCGCTCGCTCCCAGGACTGACGAGGGACGATTTTTGAAAATTCGACATGCCCCCGGACCGCTCCATTGAAAAAAAGCGCCGCAGGCATGAATGGTATCGTGTGCATACATATCCACCATCACTCGTCAGCTACAAACCGGCCAAAGATGGGAAAAAAGACGCTGGACCCTACGTAGGGGATGGAATCGAAGACGCAGTGAAAACAAAGCACGTCTCCTGATATCCCTATCCGCATTGTTCCGATGCTAAGAGGCACTTTCTGAAAAAAAGTCATTTAAAAGAGGAAAGCTGTGTTTTTCCCTCGCTATCTGGTTTCGACATGACTGATCCGGGAAACGCCAGGCTTCTCGGACCGGAGGAGGTGGAGAACCCATGCCCTTATTTCCCCCCCTAGATGTAGAATGGTGTGGAGAATCGAGATTGCCGTGGATGCTGGATCCTTCTCCCTTTAAGGGAGTGGGAGCGAATTCAATGATGCTGTGGTGCCGGACACCCATTCGGCGCGTACCGGTAAAGTAAGTAGATCGTGTTGTCGAAATCGACGCTGCTGCGGATGCTGGACACTGGCTTCTCGTGAATGGGGGAAGGCGAGTGGAAGCATGCTGTTGTACCGAACCTCCATATTCTCCCTAGATGACAAAACGAATCGAATTGAAGGTTTCTGTAGTGCTGAAATCCCGAAATCTGCTCCTTTCCCCAAGCGTATGCAGGCGTTCGCACCGAGCTCGTGGGCTCATAAGACTCCCCCGGGTAACTGAATGCTACTCTGGTGCCCCCTCCCGTTCCCCAATCCTCCCGCGTCATACCCTCCCCCTCCACCACCCACACCCACACCCTGCCCACCTCCACTGCCTGTGGGCCCGCTATGCCCCTCCAAGGGTGCCGCATGCCTCCTCAGCATGAACATGGGTTTCCTTCCCTCCTTATCCAGTTGCTTGAACAGTATCAACGGCTTCTCTCGTAACCCTAGACACCGCTCTTGATCGCCGTACACAATGTATAGTGCGTAGTTCTTCCAGTCGGCGTTGATGTTGTATTTTTTGAGAGCTGCCGGAAGGACCCTCTCGCAGGGATCTTCCATGCTGACGCGGAAGGATTTGAAGATATTGACCGAGGGTTCGCGGTTGTTGCCTGCGGAGGAAGATGGTTCATCTTGCATTTGCTGTTGTTGTTGTTGTTGTTGTTGCTGCTGCTGCTGTTGCTGTTGCCGCTGTGGTTGGGATTGCTGGTATGGCTCAGGAGGTGGACCACGGTTTCGCTGGCTGCCCGGGGTAGGTGTTGGGTTGCTGCGGTCGCGGTCTCGATCGGAGGTGAATGTAGAGACTGAGGATGTGTAGCCTTGTGAGTCTTCGGCGTGGGAATAGATGGTTCGAGAGCCGCCACTCGATGGTTGCTGATCGCGGTAGGTGCGTTGGTGGAGGGTGGGTTGATTGGCGTACGTATTTGGAGAGGTCGGTGAAGGTATGTTTGCTTGCGATGGTGATGTAGAAGCTTGAGAGCCTCCCATGGCGGTGGTAGTAAGATGATTCGACGCTGCGACGGCGGCTGCAGAAGGATCGAGTGACGTATCAGCCTGACGACCTTCGGGTATAGACTGGGGTATATGGGTCGGGGAACTGCTCTTCGGCGTGCCGCCGAGGAACAATCGTTTGGTGGAGAACTTGCGGGATAAGCTGCTGCCAATCTTTTGCTCCGGTGGCAGCTGTGATACCATTGGTGACATCCCATCTTCGTGATGATTGGGACTGTGGTTGTTGTTGGGATGGTAAGGTAATGGTTGGGAGTAGTCTTTTGCCATCCTGAAGATAGGCAGAAGCTCGTCTCGTAGTCGCCGGTACTCGTCGGTGATCTTCCGCAATTCAGCTTCGGCTGCTTGAATGCGGTGGTCACGTATTTCGATTGACTTTATGATGCGGGAGATGTCATCTCTGGTGGCGGTCTGATCTTGAGCCATCGCATCGGCGGCTGATCAATGTGTCAGAACTACCCAAAGGAATGAAGAGAATGGGGAAATTACATGGCGGTATCCAATGGTCCGAGTCTATCGGTATATCTTGCTTGATCTTCACATCATAGACGCCCTTGAGGATAGTGAGTCTATGCCCAACACTGATGATGGCCATTTCCTTCAATTCTTCATGGCGTAAGGCTATCAGCGCTTCACCGACGATCTCGTTCTCTGTACCAATCATGCTCGTTAGCTTCGTTTGAGAAGAGGCGCATGATCACCCCTACCTAAGAATTTGTCACAATACTGCGGCAGCCCCAGACTGGAAATGTAGTCTGCGCATTGTTCTGTTGTCCACCCCACAACTGTATTCCCAGGCGACAGCTTTCCCACGTCAATATTGTGTCCCAACGTGGTAGGTGTAGGCTCGGTCGAGGGAGGGTCAGAGTCGGTAGGAGAGGCATCATCATCGGTAGCAAGGAGGGGTGAGGTCATAACGCTCCTCTCGTACTCGTCGTCTGCGTCTGAATCATGGTAGGTTGGGGGTATGGCCATCTTGTGACAGGCTGCTGAGGGATGCCCCTATGTCATGGCAGGCGTCAAAATGATGCTGGGTCTGTAGAGGTGCCGCGTGCTCAGTGCAGGGCTAGGAGGGCTCTTCTGGCTTCTTCCGGCTTCTTCTGGAAGGCTGAGATCTGCAAGCAAGGAGCAGTGAGACTCGTAATACACAATGTCCCCGCGAAGGTACCTTAGAGACGCGGGCGTCTATTATGGAAGGTTGGGCTTGCAGTGTGGGGAAAGCGACAAGGGCAACGCTCTAACGGTTGTTACTCTTGCTCACGTCAGACAAGGACTGATTAAACAAGCATTCTATTGTATGGTGTTTCTGCTTGTGAGTCGGTTGTTTTGGAGGTGAAATAGACTGCGGGGGGGGTGGAGGGTTCGGTGAGTAATGAGTGGTTAATAGAGAGTCCAATTTCAGACTGTAAGCCAAGCCGTCAGCCCTGTTGCCCCAAGTTGCCCAACGCTTTAGGGAAAGTGGCATGCGGCTCCTTCCCGAGTAGGCGTCAAGCATAAAAACATGTGCATAATTCATAAATATTGATCCTCACTATTATATTATTTATCCACAAGGCGTCTTGAAGTCCAGAGATCCAAGCACACCACCATCAACATTTGAATCATACAAGTATCCCATGGCACAAATACATACCTGATGTAAACATGACTATGACTACAAAATCAGGGCATTGTTATGATATTGTGTGTGCAACGACAAGTCCGATAAATGTCACATCATTTCGGTACCAAGGTAGCCTCAAGAGTCGAGAGGTTGTCATCGAAAACATAAGATTGGTAACATTGAATCATAAAGCTATCATTTGCCTCAGAGGTCATCGTACAGAGTCATCGTCATCTGCATTAGAAGGCTCCATTGAACGCCACGCTCAAATTGCTATCTGATTAATGAAGATGAATATCAATCGCCGCCCAAGTTCATGTATTATCGCCCCGCACGCTAGCTCCGTATATGCAATCGCGTCTCAAGTCAGTGACCTCGCTGGCCTCCAAGACCCTATTCAGAGCTCTCACAGTACCAAAGCTACAACAGTCGATCCTGCCAGTAGGGCAAACAGCCACACCCTGACTGTTGCGTCGTGGCATGCTGAAGACCCTATATCCAGCGGCGTCCCTCCACCGTTGTCATTACTGGGAGACGTCGAGGTGCTAGATACCGAAGTGGAGCTCTTCGTGTGTGACGTGCTGGTCAAAGCATCTGAAGGTGACTCTGGCGCTACGGTAGTCCCAACGACTGCAACGCTCGTCGTTGTAGGTTCAGGAGTGACGGTAATTGGAACGACTGTCGTGGTCGAGGATGTAGCAGCGGCTTGAGGCGTGGTAACGACTGTCGTGGTCGAGGATGTAGCAGCGGCTTGAGGCGTGGTAACGACTGTCGTGGTCGAGGACGGAGCAGCGGCTTGAGGCGTCGTAGATGTAGTAGCGCTCGAGGTGGTTGAGATGGTAATAGTACTGGTAGTCGCTACGCTCGCTTCCCTCGCTGCAGACTGACTACCAATCGCCCCATCCTGCCCTCCAGCCTGTCCGAGCTCAACCCCGCCACCGCCAGGGTTTGAATCCCCGTTCGCAGTCGAGCAAATTGTCTGGACACCCAACCCGTCAAAGAATAGCCCTATCAACGTGTTCGGATATGCGCTTGTGCCAGCGCAAGCTTCGTTCAAGGCAGTTGTCAAACTATCGAGGAAGCCGACGCACTTCACGGAGCAGCCTTTCCCCGCGAAGTCGGAATTGGAGCAGTCTGTGAGGGGCGTGTTGTAGGCGTTTGTGCAGGCGGCGTCGAAGCCGTTGATCGGTTGGAAGGTTGTGAGGGTGAGGGCGGAGGTTGCTTGAAGGAAGTGAATTAGGACCAGGGCAGTGGAGAACGGGGTGGCGGTTGAGAGGCGCATGGTTGCTTGTTGTGTGAGGTTCTGAAGGCTGCGAGATGGGATGTGCGCAGAGTTGTCTTCGGCCCCTAGGCTTGCGTTGAGAGATCGTGATATCAAGAGGGAGCTCGAAAGGTGTTTTGCTACGTGTGTTGGCAGGTCCTGGAGCTGGCGCAGCGGACAAGAGACGTTTGTGATAGAGAGCAGCCCGATTGTTGATCTGCCAATCGGAGAGCAAGAGAGCCGCTAGCAGTTGCACCAATCCATCAAAGTCATTACTAAAAGAGCGACAGTCGGGTTGAAAGGAGTGTTTTTGTTACAATACTTGTGCGACGTGCCCACAGAATCTCACTCCCAAGGTGAATATGTTGTTGGTGCTGTGACGACGTGCAAAGGTGAGAAGCAAGGCGCAGTCAATGCGCAAATCTAAAGATCGGCGACCGAGATGATGAAATAAAGAAACCCCCAGGGCGTCAATTCACTTTCATGATTTCATCTTGTATTTCTGGGGGAATAGCTCGGAGAGCTCCCCAGTTTTGTAGGCCAAAGAATTGAAGGAAATTGTAGAGACTAGAGACACGAGACGGACTTGAAACGGTGGTGACGGTGAAGGAGCGGACTAATCTAAGCGCCATAATTTACATACGCGATCCGGTCCGTCGATTGGTTCAAAGGCAAAGCGTGACAGGCGGCTAGGTCACTTTAGGCCATGCCTGCGAAATTGCTTGCTTTGTATGTCTATCGTATCAAATCAGCATGAGGTGGATGAGCCTTACTGTTATGTTCTGAAGCTGCTAGAATGGAGACTTGCCATGTACAATTTGACTCATATCTGCTAGTATATATCTCTCTGCGCCTACGAGTAACCCTGATTATCGCAGTGCAGCAGGATCTGGAGACCCTCGAATTTCCAGTACAGAAACCATCATGGGTTGGAGTGGGATGGAAGGGATTGATGGTGCAAACTCTCATGGCTTGCTCAGCGGTCCCTGGAAGGCCCGGAGAGGAAAAGTAGGTAATTCAAGTAATACTTTACTCGTGAAGATCGTGTTTGGGCCAGACGAACGGCCAGTGTTCTTATTTGCAGTCACATCACGAACTGGAAAGTGCATGGTCTCGATTATTTTGTGATGCATGAGAGAAGGAGAAGGGAATCTGTAAAGGGCATGGCTGACGCTTGATATTTCCCTATGGTTCGTATGGTGTCCAGGAACCATGGTTCACATCCTCATTTGTGATTGACCGCAGGCGTCGTCCCCATAGACTACTGACCATTAAGAGACCCTCGTCTATCTACGTACCTCATCGATTTGTTATATCAATACCACTGCTTCAAAGTAGATGGCTTCTCTCTCCAGCCTACTTTAGGAGCAGAGAGCCTTTTTTAGTGTTTGTCTTCTTGTGTTTGTGATCCTACGTCCTCCCAGGCTACAGAATGCTCTGTTTTGTCTCAGTAAACCTGCAACGTAGGCGCCTATTCCCTTCAATGTGTTTTGCTGCTGTCTCGTCATCTCGCCCGAGCCAAGAACGAGTCTTGAGCAATGAAAAGGGTGACTATTTCTCTTCTAAAATTTGCCGAAAATTGCTAACAAATTACTCGCTTTAGGTCGAGTGCTTTCATGCTGCCCTTCCTCATTGGACTGTTGTGGGGGTTTCTCTTCTCTGCTTTCCTTTTTCCTTTTCTTTTTCTTTTTCTTTTCTTATACTGAAGCCAGGAGAAACATTGCTCGACGATGAGTGAATGAAGCTGATACATGACGAGTATATAGATATATCGATCCAATGGCATCACAAGTACTACCTCAAAGGCTCAGACATGACACTCTTCCCGCCTGGCCTCTCCCATCTGCCAAAAGCAGTAAGTTTTGCCAAAGGGGCTCTCTGTTCTCTGAAAGTCATGGTCCCAGCGGTCCCGCCGCGTAGGCATACTGAGAGTGCAGATGGTTGAAAGAAACCTAAAGAGTGCAGGTTGTAAATGAGAGATTCTGAATGGGACTGAAAACGACGATTTCTCGTTGTCGGAAAGACATTGCCTTGCTTCGTAGAACACCATCCCAGGCAAGGCCAATCTTTCACACGCAGTGCTGCCATCTGTCATGTGTGAGTCAGGATCAGTTGTCACCATGAGACAGAAGACCATGGAAGATTTGGAAGCGAGACATTTCGGAACTTCTACGGATAGAACTAAAAGTTATACTGAGAATAGCAGGATTCCGATCTTGTGAAGGAATAAATTAATTGTTTGAAAAGGCTGCGCCAGTATTCAGCCACTGTAAGTATGATGTGGTAAAGCCGACTCAGCCCCGCCTAGCTCCGCGAAATGCCACCCGCGGGGTCCTGAATAAAACCCACCCCAACATCCTCTCTCTTCACATCTTACCTACTCGTCTTACATTTACAATCCTCCTGTCCTCAACACCCTATCGCAGCGAACTCACTCCAAATCCACAATCACCCAAATTAACATGTCAGACCCATACAACCAATACCCCCCCAATTACGGCCAGGGTTACCCGCCACAGGGACCCCCGCAGGGTTACGGCCACCAGGAATATCCACCTCCACAACCTCAGTACGGCGACGCACCTCAAGGCTATGGCCCACCTCAGAGAGTGAACTCATTCGGCCCTCCTCAACAAGGAGGATTCCAGCACGGACAGCAAGGTGGCCAATACGGTCAATACGATGCCAGTAACCCCCAGGGTCAAGGCGCTTACTAGTAAATCCTACAATCTCTGCGTCTCGCCCCTGCAACTGACAGCTCCTCTAGCGGAAACCCACCGCCTCAAGGTCCCCGCTACGGTTCCGCACCTCAATACGGCCAGCCACAGTACGGCCAAGAGGGTCACCAGCAACAGCAACAGGGCTACGGCCAAGAGGGTCGTGACCCCAACGCTCCTTACGACCCCAACGCACCACAGGGCGAAGAAGGCGAGCGTGGCATAATGGGTGCTATTGGCGGTGGACTAGCAGGTCGTTATGCCGGCAAGCAGATGGGAGGACATAGTTTCTTGGGTATGATTGGCGGAGCGATTGCAGGGAGCAAGTTGGAGGATGCAGCGAAGGAAAAGTGGGGAGGAGGTGGATCTCAAGGTGGAGGGCATCATAACCATC